CAAAAAAAAATTTAAAAAATGAAAGTATATGTAAAAACCTTGAACAAGTATATTATCTTGGAAAAGTGATGAGAATCAGAGATATCATCGCTACTATAAGTTATTATCTATTAACATACATGTAATTATACAACAGTAGTATAACAGTTGCAAAACAAACAGTAAAACAGGGCCCTAACAAGCATATACGACGTACGCAACCGCAGGCATTCAAACCGAGTACGATTGTAACCGATCCATCGCGTTACTTGGGTGCCAACGAGATCGATTAGTGTTAATTACACGATTGACAAACTAGGTGGTTATCAAGATGATACCACTCACTTAGAATATGTTCTCAGTGTCAAGTCTGACAGAGCACTTTTCTGTGGTCATCTGTTGGAAGTGGTGGTGATGTGTTTTAATGCTTTATCTGGAAGCAATAAGATTTGATTAAATATATTTCATGCGTTATATGGCTGTATAAATACAGCGTTGTAATTGGTGCAGAGCATGTCACGTGACATGAGATGGACCTCTGGTCTCAGGCAACGGTGATTTTTCATTTCCTGAAACTATATATATATATATATCATATACATAGTTCGTTATCATTAATCTCTTGTTACTTATGGAAGGGGTTTAGGTTATGTATGGGATGAGCGAGGTGTGAGACGGGAACGCATTAATTACGTTTTTCAGCGGGAATGGACAAGCGGTTGCTACAGCTGTCGTGTGCTCATACACGGAGACGAGCTATACGTCGGCTAACGCCGGAGCGCCGCTGCGTTGTGTTGCCGGGGTAAGGCCATTGACATTGTCGGTCGCATCACAAACGGAGGATGAGCTGGAGAAGCGTAATGTGTTGCATGCGACTACGGGTAGATCCAGTCCTACGCCTATTCGCACACCCATTTGCCTACGTCCCGATTCGCCTATCCCATTTCGATTACTCTCAGAAATCGGCATATTCCATTTCGCCTACTCCCATTGTACTATTTCCCATTGCTACTTCCGTTGTATGTTCCAATTTTGCTGGTCTCCATTGTTTGTCAAGTTGTGTTCTCATCTATTTGTACCTATGTTTGTTTTCTGATTCCTGTAGATCATTATAGGTCTAAGATCATTATATACGGAGTCTATAGGTAGTGTCATTCTGTAGTTGCTATCTGTGTGATACAAAAGCGCACTTTTTTCTGCGATTTATGTAAACTTATGAGTCATAGTTTAGATGCAAGAACCGGTATAGTAGCAGACGAAAATTGAGAATTGGGTATGATTTGTAGGCGCTAGGACGAATTGGGAGTAGGTATCACGAATGGGTGTATTACATATTGCAAGTTACCAAGGTTAAAGGCAGTATTGCCAATTATAAAGCTCTATTATCGATCATCTTATATAAGATATATTGTTTATGTGTGCAGTAGGTTATATGCGACTCGTTTGATGAGCGTTGATTGACCGGAGTAGCGGCAGGAAGTAAAAACAAGTATGAAACTTAGATCAACTGTTGACCTGTGTGTGTAAACTCGTTGTTAAATAGGTTTTATGAAATGATGAGAATATTATATCGATATTTATATCTAGACAAGGATAAAGAACGGCCGTCCCCGCGCCCCACGCCCGCTGCAGCGCACGCACACGCCCTAGCACCCCCCGTGCACACGGCCCCCCCCCGGGGCCCTCAACCTCTTCTCTCGGGGCCATTGGTAGGTGCGAGATTGTCATGTAAATGTGCTAGCTTATAAACTTATTAATACTGCAAAACGTACTCGGTTTGATGATTTAATTTTGAATGGCTCTGGCGCCCCCCCCCCCCCCCCCACTCCCCCCCCCCCCCCCAGTTTTAACATACCCTACCCCTACTAGGCCTATACACCATGACCACTCTTCACCACGTTCCCACAATACTCCCCCCCCCCCCCTCATGCCAGCCCCCCCCCCGCCCCCCTTTATCCAAACATCCTATTCTCTTCCCCGGCTACTTGGTGCAGTGTTAGCTGTAGATGTTTTACGTGCATTAATAGTAAATTTTAATCGGTAATGAAATGAGAATTTAATTACTACTGTCACCGGTTGGTAGGGTAATGTATTGTAATGCCTGTTCGATATCAGTGATCACGATACATATAGCAGACATAAAAATTTGCGTGTAGGGACATAAGGATACGTCACTGACGGCATCTGAGGGCAGAAGCAACCGTCAATCTTATGTGAGATGAATGGAATTCGTTGTAATGCACGCACGTGGTCAGCATGCCAGGGTGGACGGGGGGGGTTTTTAGGGGCTAGCGTCTCAGTATGGCATGGGTGTGACTGTTTATACAGTGTGTGAGGGAGGCATTTGTACGACCTCACTTGCATATTACAGAGGTGCCGAAATTATAAGCGAGTCGGGAGAGATCAATGACTCCGCGATTTATGTCGGACTCCTGTTTGACATATCCAGGAATCCGTATGACTCCCTGAAAATTCTGCGTATTTACTATAGTTTATTCCAGTAGTGCACGCTGTGGGCCTGCTGCGGGACATTACTCGCTCTTGTTTTTTGTTTGTTTTGTTTTGATGAAATCGATTATGGATTTTGATAACCAAGCGCTTGGTTCGAGCCACTGTTCAACCGATGATCGAATATAATCAATGATCGTGACATCACTATAACCACCTATCAGTTAGATAATGGAAAATGACCTGCTAAAACATATACCATTTCTCTGTCTGGCATGAACAAGCCGGCTTCTTCACCGTCTCCCGCCTCATCCTCCTCTTCTTCTTCCTCTGCCTCCTCTTCCTCTTCCTCTTCCATCTCCTCGTCACTATAACACAGAAAATAAGAAACTGTGATGCTGACTACCAAACAGAAAGAGATACATAACCCATTTAATGCTTTGACTTTATAGCTAGCAGCGGTCGAAATTAGATTTTTATTATGGCATCCATTCGGGATACCAGGTATTGAAATCTGGTATCCCCCCCCCAAAGATCTGGTATCCCATTTTTTGGATAGTAATTTAAACAATGTTGGTATCCAAAATCTTTAAATATGCAATAATAGCATTTGAAAATTATTAATATGTAATGTAATTATTATATAAAAAAACATGAAAACAGATTCACAGATATGCACAGACAAGTACACTGCAGACGTATTGTCTAGACGCATTGTCTGGTTTGCTTGATACAATGTATACACATCACATTTATGATCAGATAGCGCGCACTCGCTCTACGTGCACTCGCTCAGATGCGCTGCCCTATAAAGTTGATAACTCAACAACGACTTTCCCGATTTTGACAATTTTTTTTACTATCCCGGTGGGATACCAAGCATTGAAATCTGGTATCCAACACAAGAATCTACTATCCCGCGAATATCAAGATACCGCCAATTTCGACCCCTGGCTAGGTCCATAAATTTTTAATAAACTGCTGTTTATTAGTTACTAGTACTGTGTATAGTCACAGTTTTCGGTAATTCCTTGAAGACAATCAAACATGTGGAAGAACATTCCAGTTTTACCTGTCTTCCTCTTCGTCCTCCTCATCTTTTGCCTCCTCATCGTCATCCTCATCCTCATCATCCTCCTCCTCTCCTTCCTTCGCCACAAATTCTTCGTCTTCGTCTTCGTCGTCACCTCCAGCCTCAGCCACAGCTTTAAGAATCATATCCCTGATAGTCTTAGCAGCTGATCGCTGGCCTGTTTTGGAAGCACCTTCATCAGCATCAGCCGAGCTCGCTGAAACTAAAAGACAAATGGATGTGCACCTTATGAGTCTGCTTATACATACATACACTCCATGGGATTTATGGGAAAAAGACAGGAGGCATACCAGACGAGGTTCCTATGGCGGGTTACACTGGTTAGTTTAGTCGAAATGTAGGCGCACTACAAGAAGTAAGAAAGCAATCACGGCACTTGTTGTTAGTGCTATGGTGAAATTTAAATCTGCTATACTACCTTCTAACATGGATGTCATAATGGTGGGCAATTTTACACTGCTCTTCGTGCAAAAGAACCACACCGAACACAACAACACTGCAAATATAACAGAAATATAATATTACTTAATTATATTAATATTTAAAAAAAGATATTATTATTTCAATGATTAAAGTGATTGCTCACTAGGGGTGCAACGAATCACAACTTCACGGTTCGGTTCGGTTTTCGGTTTTCACATTTCGGTTCGGTTATTTTCGGTTCGAATATTTGCGATCAATTACAAATCTTATAACACCAAACTGCAAACAGAAGTGCAAATTTAATAATCAGACTGGTTTATAAATACCATAGATCTGTAGGAGGCCGGCGGATCAACATAAGTTGTCATTTTTGCAGACAAAATGAACGCGTTGACCTTCTCGTGGCATGTAGCAAGTGGTCTATCAATGTTATCTGCTCGCTGATTGGCCGAGAGTTTACAATCAGCCAATCGCAGTGTGCGTATCTCAAAAGCGTATATATCGGGTATATATAAAATGTGGAACCGAAACCGAGCCGAAAACGGAACGACAGTTCGAATATCCAAATGGTGGCGCAAAAACCGCGGTTAACCGTTACACCACTATTGCTCACCACAGGAGGGCGCCGCCTCCGCGCTTGCACTTGCCGCCTCATTGCCGCTGTCTTTCGCCTCAGACTTTTGCGCGACGCTAGACGAGGGCGCCGGTGTCTCCTCCGCTTTCTCGTCGGCTTTCGCCGCGTCCTCGCAGTTGCTTTCGGCCTCCTTCGACAACGAATCTCCGGCGACCGCGCTCGGTGGCGCCGCCTCACACTCGGCGCTGGTCGAGTCAGGCTGGTCGCCGCCGGCGACGGCCGGGCAGTCTGCGAGCTTCGTCTCCGATTCACCGTCGTCCGTCTCCGGTTTTGCTTCTTCGCTCGCCTCGGCCTTAACCTCAGCGACCTCGCTGTCTCCCGCGGCTTTCACGTCGGCGACCTTCGACCTCTTGCCCTTGCCCTTGCCCTTGGACTCGCGGATGCAGCCGTCCATCTCTTCAGAGCCGTTGTGGAGCTGGGCTTCGCCCTCGTCGTTGTCGCCGGGAAACGGTTGCTTTCCTCGCAGCATCGGTGATTTCACCTGGGAGAGGCCCTGGAGATTTTTCATCTGGAACGAAAAACGGCGCGTCGTGTTAATTGCGGAAAACGAACTGTTTAAGGAAGTCGGCGGAGCAAAATGCGCAGTTGTTGAATTAGCACATAATTAGCACATAATTAGCATACTGCAGTGTCATACTTCATGTTTCATTAGGATTTTTATGCAAAACTAGAACAAGGTGAGTACTAATGTCGTTTCAGCACTATCTCCAGTAAGTCCAGTTTATTAATTATGTTAAAACTTAAAGGTTAATGTGCTTTTATTGATATTAATAGCTGGCACCATTGCTGCCTGCATACGTATGTAGTAAATATAGATACAGAACATTCCCTAGATTTTACCAGATTAAGTTCCAAACCAGAGATGTGTGTGCATACCAGATGTGTGTGTACCAGCACGCGTCAGCTTTCACTTATAAACAAGATTAAATGACAGCACCCTAACCCTAACTACTACCACTATCACATCATAGTAGCTGGCAAAATAGACTGCAATCGAAGAAGTGTAATTTTGAAATTCAAATTTTTTAAATTCAAATTAAAAATTTAAATTTTTAAGGTAAATTTGAAATTCCATGACTGTAAAACTGTCTGGACCATAAGAGGTTCCAGGCCGTCGACTGCTGGAAAACCGGTAGACTACCTGCAGTATCAATGCTGTCACTGATAGTTAACACAAGGTTGTGCAACAGTACATAAGCACCAACCTTCTTTGATTGCAGCTCAGCACTTCCCCCGTAGCGAGCCAGGAGTTCCTCAAGGGGCATGGTGGCTTCTTCAAACAAAGCAGCCTTGTCTTCCTCGTCATCTGCAAAACCAGTAGCGATGCCTATTGCTGTGCTCATCACTTTAAAAACACTAATGACCCTTCCCCTGCTAATTAATGCCCATCTTCTGTACAAAGTCTACAGAATTATTTAAGCAAGCAATTTTAACTGATTTAAAAAATTGCCCGTGTGAATCTATTTGCAATTATATTTAGTTTTATTACATTTTGAACTCTGTTAGTACTCTTTGACCTCTTGTTGTACATACAAACATCAGATGAATATACTATTAGTATCTGTTCGAAACTAAAATACTAAGAGCAAGGGTCGAAATAAGCGATGGCCCGATGGTCCGGGGCCATCACATAACCAGGAGGACCATCAGATTTTCAAAGGCAATGGTCCGACAGACCATTGAATGTTTTGGTCCCATTTACAATAATTGAACAGACAATTACTGTATCGTTTGATACATTCATTGTAGGTGAATAATTAAACCATTTTATCACCATGTAAAATCTCTTTCTTACGCTTGCAGGCCGCATTACTTTTAGAGAACAATTCGAAATTTAGGAGAACCATCTAAAATTTAGGAGGACCATCTAAATTTCAAACTAGATGGTCCTGTGGACCATCTCTTTATTTCTCCTTATTTCTACCCCTGTAAGACTAAAACAAACCAGTATATATTCAGGGGTAGAAATTAACTTTTGAACACGAGAGTCCAACGGACTCCCTACCCTCAAAAAGAGGGAGTCCGCGGCAAAATGAGGGAGTCCGCAGTCTGAGGTTCAACATTAAAAATATTAACAATAACGCATACATGTGCTTATTTTTAAGATTCATGCAGTTGCACGTCTGCCAAATTTTCTTTGGACATTAGCTGAAAAAATACGGTAATTCCGCAAGGCCGTGCTCCGGAACGAACTAGTTAGTATCGCAGAATTTTCAGGGAGTCACACGGACTCCTGCACATGTCAAATCAGGGAGTCCGACAGTAAATCAGGGAGTATTTGACTCCAGACTCCCGTTAATTTCGCATCCTGTTACGTATATTCTATTAATCATGAGATTTACCTTCTTCCTCGTCATCATCAACGCCAGCTATTGCCTTCAGGTCCTTAACGACGGATGGCTTCACCAGCGTTTCATCGAATCCAAGAAAAGCATCTTCCAACGCCTGTGCCATGTTGCCGTTCCTGTACGCCTCATTGTTCTTCAGGTAGTCAGGAAAATACATGGAGCAGTACTGCGCTACCTCGGAACCTGAAAACGTCAAATTAACACGTTAAAATGAATGCTAATTTGTCCCAATGTATCAGAAACATTTAAACATTTAACATTTCAATTAAACTTTTATTTTATTTTATTTAAGCTAAAGGCTGTTTATGGTTACATATACATAATAGATATTTGTATAGTATTGCAGACTCATCTGGATAGTATTACAGGAAATGCCATCATTTAGAACATTAGGTATCACTGCCAGGTAGTTAGAATAAGAGGAGATGGTATATCACATTAGGTAGCTCCACTAATTTTCCACTTTTAATGTGGGACGAAAATGGTTCTCAGTCTTAACAATCTTAGTCTGTGAACCCACAGCCTGATACCAAATGATTATTTATGAAGTTATGAGAAGGAAGCCTTGGAATGACAGACTTGATAGACCAAAATTGCATTTACATCATTTCATAATACACACAACAGATTCACTTGTATTTGTGGCACCTAGTACACTGTAGTAGTTAAGATTTTTAGTATTATATCATAAGCTATCGCTAACTAAATCTATATATAGGTACATTTTTACATTATGTGTTTCTGGCATTTGTTCAGCACAGCAGGAGACACAGTACATATATGCACAAGTCAGTTACTGTGTGATAACAAGCAAATTAGATTTGTTTACCTCCATGGCCATCGTAAACAGCAAATAGGGATGTTTTGTCATCAAACTCTGGAATACAGTTGTGTGCATCCTGTAACATTCATGAAAAAAAAAAAGTATTAATCATTTAATTGCCAATCATATCGTAATATATAGTGTTATTATTATTAATATTATTGTTATTATTAAATATCTATAGTGTAGTAAAATCTCCACTGTTATTTATTTATCACATTTTTCGAAGGTGGTGAATGCCAGCAGTAGCCCTGGGGCCCGTTGTCAGAAACAAAATTGGTCTTAACATTAACTTCCACTCGTAAACCGTTGACAGAAACATAGCAAAGTTACGAGAATGAAAAATCCTCGAAAATATCCTCTTAACATTACGAGAGCCTAACTCTCGTAACTTTAATATTAAGATGAAAATAACACATTTACACTACGAATTACAATTATAGTGATATTATATATTATAATAATGAATAAAATGTGTTTTTCTTGAAAAACACGTCAAAATCATTAATCATCTACCAATCATAACACAAAACAAAACATTTACAAATGGCGTACATGGCATTTGTTCTCTTGTTTTAAATACCTTGCCACTTGCCACGACTCTCGCGTTTCGTGTTACAGTGTGAGAATTTGTTTTCGTTCTGTGATCGTGTGAAATGAAGCGAGCGTCGTACGAATTTTTCAATCCCGCTTTCCTACCTGCTCTCTTATTCAGGTTGTTTTTGCACGCAGCACAGGGCGGGCGTGCGGTGTACTTGTGTGTTTCAGATGAGCATTTGACCGGCATTTACAGGCGATTATAGGCGAAATAGAGTAGAGAAACATTAAGACTTTGGTACATTTCGTGTTTATTTACCATTAATATTTTTTATTGAGACGTTCCAAGTGCCTGTGCTGTAGGGCCTATTATAGTATTAACAACAGCAGCTATGCTTTAAAGTTTCGTGTCACTGTCACTGACACTGACAGTGACACTGTCAGCTACTGCAACTAGTATTTCAGAATATAGAATTACATAAACATTATGCAATATCTGATTTTAAATAAATATACAGGACTGAATAAAACATGTTAAAACATTCACTTAGCTACTGTATTTTCAAACACTGAATCACTGAATCATACCTCTTGTGACAATCGCCACCCTTGCATGCTCGACGCTCCATACGTGATGTGTTCCAATTCTTCATCGACGGAGTGCTTTTCCGTGATTGGCTCAGATAAGTAAGCACCCATGTTTACCCCTTCGAATAAAGGCGCTTGTTTGAACTGGTAATAAACATAAATTTAATACTAGAACTCGCGCTATTCAATCACAATTCATGACCGGGGAAATCGCGTGTATTTTCCTCACGATTTTCGCGGCACATGTTTCGGTGACGTCACGTCGACGGCCCGTGTCATAGGCATTATATTTATAATAACAACCAGTCTTATTTATTAATAATATTATAATGAAGTTGGTTTGTTTATTTGATAAATAACCACGTACATGATATTCATCTCTACATAGTGAGAGAGAGCATACTTAGGGAAACGTATGGGAAAATTAGCTCCAGAAACGTTGAGCATGCGGGTGGGGTAACCCCGCTGGAGCCAAGTGGCAGCACTGGTAAGGATCCACGGCGGCATTCGATTAGAATTTTAACGAAGTCCGGTAAATGTTTGTAAATGGACTCTTGATCTTAATTATTCGAGTATTGTTTGACTGCAAGAATTTGGACACTCTTACATCGCCCCTGTGTCAAAAGGTATCCATTTTGTGCATTTAATAATTGCTCATAAGTTTTTAATCGTCACGACTCGGATAGAATATTCAGATGTACACACGTAACACACTTACACACTAGGGCCTACACAGGCTGCGATACTGTACGCCAATACACCGTACACGGAACATGAAGTCTTCATTATATAATTATTTCTTGGAGCTGCTTTGACATAGGCTACATGCAGCGGTCTGCACTTATCTATGTAGTCCGAGTTAGTTTTATAACCAACACCAAATCGATATAAATCGGCTGTGTGGGTTATTGGTCAGAGAAAACGAACTCGAGATAATACTTACTCCACTACTTGCTCTACTACATGCCTAACGTTATCTTCTTTACAACACACTAGGCCTGTATTCGGGAGAATGGCTACGCAAGATAATCCTGGTGCTGATAAAGATACAAATGTAGCTAAAAGCAAACAGACCGGTGATGAGTCTGAAGACGAAGATGAAGAAAGTGAAATCCTAGAGGAGAGTCCTTGTGGTCGCTGGGTCAAACGACGGGAGGAGGTAAATAGCCGTTTGTCGAATGCTTTCTGAAATGAGAAGAACATGTAACTAGATGCATGCTAGCTCTAGGACTATAGCCCGCGTACAGTTGCCGCAGGGCTATAGAACATTCTATGCCAGTTTTATTAACTGCACCTGCTCCCCACTGCTTCCACGAAAAATGGCTAACAAAACGCAAAATGATCTATAATCATTTATAAATAATAAAATATGGTTTTGATTGGCATAGATAGACTACAGATGATATACCTATAGATGATGATGATGATGACCTATAGATGATATACAGGAATCAGAAGAAAACATAGATACAAATAATGAGAACACAACTTGACAAAAATGGAGACACAAAATTGGAACATACAATGGGAGTACAATGGGAAATAGTACAATGGGAGTAGGCGAAATGGGAACATTGCCGATTCTGAGAGTAGACGAAATAAGAGTAGGCGAAATGGGATGTAGGCAAAATGGGTGTAGGCGAAATGGGAGTAGGCCAACTGGGATGCTACCGTAGTCGCATGCAACACATACCTTCTCCAGCTCATCCTCCGGTTTGTGATCGACCGACATGTCGATGGCCTTACCCGCGCGGCACACAACGCAGCGGCTGTCTCCGGCGTTAGCGACGTATAGCTCGTCTCCGTGTATGAGGCACACGACAGCCGTACAACCGCTGTCCATTCCCGGCTGAAAAACGTAATTAATGCGTTCCTGTTCTCACACCTCCTCAGTCCATACACCACCTAACCCTTCCAGTACGGTAACAAAGAGATTTAATTGATAACGATACCTATGTATATCAAGAGCTAATAATACCTAGAGTGTACAACGGAAAAACGGGAAAAATAGTGCTATTTCACGACATGATTATTCTACTTTGCCTGCGAGTCTAGAATAATTTTATGGTATTGCATTAAGCATATAAAATAGCTTATTTTCGGCATATCAATTTGTGAGAACGAATATAGGCATTAAAAATTAATCAGTTCTTTTATGACATGACACTTATGCAAAACATGTAAATCTCACTGTTTTTACAGGACAAGATCAAGCAAGTGTTTGATAATCTCACACAGTTGGAGCATGCAAACATCGTCAAGTTTCACAAGTACTGGTGCGACACAGACAGAGATGCGGAAAATCCGAGGGTAGGTGGCTAAGTACACATGCTCAATACCGGGCGTTGTTTTCTCTCTGTGCCCTACTGCATGTTGCATCACAATTGTAGATTAAAGGATGTGTCAGGAAATTGACCGCCTGTACGCACGGTGCTAGCGCGAGCGAACGTGACGCGAATCCCTTCAAGGACACTGAGGCAGTCAGAGTGACTGCTACATGGAGCGTGGGTCGCCAGAGCGAGAAGAGTGGTGGTGTATGGCGTGTGTCGTCAGAGAGACAGGAGTTTGCTACATGGAGCATGTGTCGCCGCATAGACTATCTATGGGAGACTATCTATGTCTAGACTATGGGACTGGCTATCCCGTCATGGGGAGCGAAACCCTGACAGAAGGTAGTGCACCATGTGAAATAAATGTCGTTTGTGTTTTGCAGGTGATATTCATCACTGAGTACATGTCGTCCGGCTCGCTGAAGAAATTCCTGCAGAAGACAAAGAAGAACAATAAGACGATCAATGCCAAGTCTTGGAAACGCTGGTGCACGCAAATTCTATCCGCTTTAAGGTAATTCTCTGGGTTTAATCACGGCAAAACTGGCAGCTGGTTGATGGTAGCATGACTAGTAGTTAGTTCGTGGTTGCCCATGTACCTCACAATCTAGGGCAGAAATTACCAAAAGAAATTACTAGAAAAAGGGCACCCATTATGGTAAAGTGTTCATGGTACACTTGTGCTTAGTCATGGAATTTCATAGCTAGTGTAGACCATGCAAACTCACTCGGTTTCCGTTTATTCTTTTTCAGTTATTTGCATTCCTGTGATGCTCCTATAATTCATGGAAATCTGACGTGTGACACAATCTTTATTCAGCATAATGGACTTATAAAGATTGGCTCAGGTTAGCTACTATCTCACCCATGTCAGAACAGACTAGTTATTAGAAAGCAGTATTTTGTTTAAAGCATAGCATACTCTCATGTTCATTATATAGATATGTTCATGATAGTACGGGAAGCTTTCTCCTCTTTCACCCACTCGCCTCCCCCGAAATTCCCCCATTAATTTACTTGTATCGTTTTCTTATTCACGTTATTTGGTTGTTTTAGTTGCACCTGATGCGATACACCAGCATGTAAAAACCTGCAGACAGGAGAAGAGGAATATGTATTATATTGCTCCAGAGTACGGAGGTAAGATTTATGTTGAATGTTTGTTTTGCTTGGTACATATAATGTATTGCCTACATAATTATGTACAGTCATTCAATTTGTAAAAAAAAAAGAATGGGAAAGATCAATAAAATTGTTTGAGTTGCCCCCTTTTTGGCAGGTCGGTTGGGTGAGGGCAAACAAACAATATTTTTATTATGGCCTGGTACAGTTTCACATAGACACAATTAGGCGCATGTATTTCTACTACTCCGTTGTCGGAAGGTGAAACGTACCACTGTAAAAAACGCATGTTTATGTCCGATTTTTGTGAAGCTTGCACACGCATTTAAATTTCTATGAATTCTCGCTGTTTTACAGCTGCATCCTGTTCCGTGGTTACACCTGCAGTCGACATATATGCTCTGGGAATTTGTGTACTGGAGGTAAGTTAGAGCAAAATAAACCATCTCTACATAACTTTACTTAGCTTGTGTACGAGATGTGGTTGGGAAGATGCAAATTTGTAGTCGATGTTTTGTGATCTATAGTATAGTACAAGTGCAATAGGTCCCCTGAAGTTATTTAAAAACATGGTGTAATCGTCCAGCCTTGCTGCATAGTGAACACAAATGCTTTTCCTCCGTCACACGATTCGCTTGCTGATCATCTCAATGAACTTTAATACAATTATAATGCAACGCCTAGCAGCTCATTGCAACTAGGGTTCGGAGGACATTTCACAGTAGTACTATATATAGTGCGTGAATTTTAAATGTTAAAAAATTTGTAGAACTACCTGAAACCATTTCGGATTTGATTCTTCACAGATGGCAACGTTGGGTAGCATATCAAGTAATGGAGAAGGACAGCCAGTGACAGAGACTGCAATACAGGAGACTATACATGCATTGGAAGATCATCTGCAGCAGGTGTGTGTGTGCGTGCGCGCGCGCGTGCATGTGTGTGTGTGCATGCATGTGTGTGTGCATGCATGTGTGTGTGCGTGTTCGTGTGTGTGTGCATGTGTGCGTGCACACTTACATGCGCAAGTGGCCGAATTGCAGTAGGATGCAGTGAAATACAAAATTAAACCATAATATTTGCTTAACCTAAGAAATAACAGTAAAGACTAAATCAATTAATTTTGCTGTCAGTAAATTACATTGGACCATAATTTTTCATTGAAATTAATCGTAATTAGCACGCATTGAAATTAGACATTAGCTTAGTTTAAAAAAACACGGCCACCCACTTTTTACGCCAACCAAGATAAAGTGTTTGGCTACCATTGGTATACCATTTGTCTACAATTGCAAACTTTTTTTTCTCATTAATTTCCTCTAGGATTTCATTCTGAAATGCATAGAGAAAGATCCGACGAAGCGACCCACCGCCCGTCAACTTCTCCTTCACAAAGTTCTGGTAGAGGTGCATTCACTGCGGCTTGTGGCTGCCCACAAGCTCATACAGACGCCCCGTAAGTATGTCGGGCAGCAAGCATCCACGTATGCATAGCAGACCTGCCAACCCTTACGATTTTTTCGTATTCCTTACTAATTCCAAGTTGTTTTTACGAATGTACGATCAAACTGAAAAACTTACGATTTTTTACGACTTGAAAATTAATGTGTTGTTTACATTGTGAGCCGAGAAATATCTGTCGATTGTGGGCGCAGCCATATTGGATCACGCATTCACGTTGTTCTCGCGTGATCTAGAGTTAGTCCCATCATTCATTGCGCGCATAACATACAAACAAAATGGCCGCCTGCTGCAGGAAAAGAAAAGCCTTACTATTTTCATGAATCACAGGTTGGCAGGTCTGCCACGTATGCATAGTCACAATATGGCACGTAGAGGGTGAGTGACACCCATCGAAGTATGTTTCCTGTCTTGATTCGGGAATTCTTGCATAAAACCTTTCAGGACTGGCTTACCCTGTTCGCTACTTGATTTGAAGGACCATGAACTGGCTCCAAGATTTTGAAGACATTTTCTGAGAGAAAAAATTCAGCTTATACCCGACACAATGCTTAATATTTGTCTGACATGCATTCTGTATTTTTCATTTCAAGAGGACATCATCAAATGCACTCTGCTGCTCTGCTGCACTAGTTATATAAGACGCTCCTTATATTAATTGGTAACAGGTTGTGTTTATTGTGTTGATGGCTAGATCTGCTAGAGAGTCTGACGGATGAGTCTTTTGAGAAGAGTGCCGACACACAGTGTGCTAGTCTGGTCATGAAAGGTGTCTCTCATAAATACAAGTAAGTTGGAGAGTCAAAGCTGTTTCGCAGGTACTGACTGTCTAGTTGTTAATTAGTTCAGAAACAACCACAAACACTCATGGCATTTGTTAACTGAATATGTGCGCTGATGAATTTTTTATTTTATAGCCATGCCCATCTTTAACCATCTGGTTTCGCACTGTATTAAGGAATCTGAAAAAGATGTTGCTTTTGTGCATGTTTAGGTACATGGATTTCCCTTTTACTGAAACACTGGACAAGTTCATTGAAGATGTGAAGTGAGTAATTAATAACCATAAGTTCATTCGCCTACCACATATAATTATGGAATCGGTTTGAGCTGAAATGTGATTTTACCTGTTCTTTTCCAACCAACAGTACTGCATTTTTCTGCTATAACTAAGGAATACGTTTTTAACAAATATTAGTGGCTAGTAGCTGGGATCTGGATTCAAATTCATCAATCAGCATTGTTTAATGCATGCTTTTTCTCCTGCACACCACTGTTACATAATACATGCATCAAACAGTTATAGATTTAAGGAAACTAAAGATATAACTATGGACTCGTGGGTAATATACTTTGTTTATGGATAAGGACTCTGATAGTAATATACTTTGTTTTAATATAAGGGACCTTGTGGTAAGTATACTTTGTTTATGGAATAGGAACTTGTGGTAATATACTTTGTTTATGGATAAGGACTTGTGGTAATATACTTTGTTTATGGATAAGGACTTGTGGTAATATACTTTGTTTATGGATAAGGACTCGTGGTAATATACTTTGTTTAGTTGGATAAGGACTCAGTGGTAATATATTGTGGTAATATACTTTGTTTATGGATAAGGACTCGTGCACATAACCTTAGTGGTGATACGAGACAAATGTCGTCATTAACCGTGCGTTCGTCTGCAGGATTGGAATCTACCCGCTGACGTTGTTTGAGACTCCAGGAGGTACGCGTCCGAGGGCGGAATCACCAGAGGTCGCTGAAGCTGTCAAGTCGGACACGCCGGATCCGGACGTAGAAGTGAGGCGTGTGACAAACATGCAGTGCAAGGTGCATGCAGAACAGGAAGGTCAGGGCTTACAGGTAAAGTTAAAGTATTTTCTCTGTCGGTAATGAATGATATGTAATTAGAAAATGATTTTTTAAGGAGAAGAGGAGTGACAGAGAGATGGGGGGTAGCGCTAGGGGGTGGGGGTTATCACGAGTATTGAACATGCAGTGCAAAGTACACGCAGAACAGGAAGGTCAGGGCTTGCAGGTAAGGTATTCTCTCAGTCGGTAATGAATGATACGTAATGAGAAAATGATTGAGGCGGAGGCAGGAGTGACAGCGAGATGGGGATGGAACTACATATACTTTCAGCATTTATACAGTAATTCAAATTGCCTTTTCACTTTTGTTTCTGCAGCTGACACTTCTGCTGAAAATGGAAGATAAGATGAATAGAGAGTTGAGCTGTAAGGTGTTGGATTCTGATAGTAGTGCGATGCTAGCTGAAGAATTGGTACACTATGGCTTTATCAATGAGGTAAGTCCTAGTAAATCTGCATGGACAGTACTGTATATGCCATATTTTTCACATACAGATATTTTCGCGAATTCAGACTTCGCGGACAATTTCGCGAGTGGTTAATTCCGCGGCCGGTGAATTCCCGAATCAGTGAAGAACAGTGTATTGTTGTTTTCGCGGTCGGGGACGCATTCGCGAAATTCACGAAAATTAAACCACCACGAAATATACAGCGTATACAGTAACTGAGAATATTAGAAGTCACTATTTATAGTCCAGCCTGGACTGTAGAAGGTTGCTATACTTACTACATTAATTGCCACGTGGCACAGATGTTGATACTGCACATTAGATAGTGGTTCCCTTGTTGCCACGTACTGAATTTTGTTTAGGAGGAGGACTGCACATACATAGCACATAGCGCACTTTTGGTTATAGTTTTAGTTCCAACATATTAGATAATACTAATAAAAAACTGTACATTTGGAATTCCAAGCTCAGGGGTAGAAATTAAGTTTTGAACAAGGGAGTCCAACGGACTTCCTACTCTCAAAAAGAGGGAGTCTGCAGTCTGAGTTTCAAAATTAAAGATATTAACAATAACGCATGTGCTTATTTATAAGATTCATGCAGTTGCACGTCTGCCAAATTTTCTTTGGACATTAGCTGAAAACGTACAGTAATTCCGCTAGGCCGTGCTACGGAACGAACTAGTTAGTATGGCAGAATTTTTAGGGAGTCACACGGACTCCTGCACATGTCAAATCGGGGAGTCCGACAGTAAATCAGGGAGTATTTGACTCCGGACTCCCGTTAATTTTGCACCCTGCAAGCTTACATTTGATGCTTGCAGCCTCACAACACTGAACAGGGAACCATTGCCACCTGTGCCACCTAACTGACCCTTTTTCCAAAATACGAAAGTGGTCATTACTCAATAGAAACAACTTTGGCTGTATACCTCTGCTCATCCTCTATGGCAGTGCTTCTGAAACTGGTGAATAGTTCACCCAAGGGTGAATAGTTCACCCAAGGGTGAATAGTTCACCCAAGGGTGAATAGTTCACCCAAGGGTGAATGAAATTATTTAGGGGTGAATGAAACTTACCAAAAAATATGAGGAAATTTAGTCGCGGGTGAATGAAATTTCGTGAGGGTGAATTTACACTGAAATGGTTTAAGAAGCACTGCTCTATGCAATGGCTTTTGTGTTATCGTACGTCGTGCTGTGTGATGCTATCACGTGTGTTGGCGTTGACTTTCCAGACTGACCGAGAAGCTCTCGCAAAGTTAATAGATGAGAACATAGAGACGTGTCGCAATCAGGTCGTGGGCTGCACGTCTCTGCCGCTGAGTGGCAGCGACCAGGCGCTGACACAGACGAAGAAGCAGGCACTAGGAAGTACGGCATGATCGTGACCACCCATTCCCTTATCTGAGCTTATACGCTTCTCACTACATATGTGCGCATCGGTGGCGCCATCTCTCGGCTCATTCCATAGCTAAAGTGGGGCAGATGAAAGTGTGGCATACTGCGGTGTTTTGAGAGTGTGGCTACCGTGTATTCTCGCTGTAGCAGTTCTATATGTTTCCCGAAGCAGACGCCTGCGGTGAAGTACGTAGTGATGTACAGTCAGGCTTCGCATAACGATGACCTGGACAGTGTGGTTTCGTTATAATGTCGTTAAGCTACTCGTTAAATACCCGTGATTATTACAACGAATTCTTTAACGACTCGGCCGATTTATCACCCATCACGATGCTTACGAACAGGGCATGTCGTGTCTATTACGGCACAGAACAGCACAGATCTCTGTCGATTTATACGATTTTATTGTCAGATATCTAACAAAACTAATATTGACTTCATTATTATTGATATCTACTATTGATATGACTATTGATATCATTATTATATGTTATATATTAAATTTGGTAGAAATATGCCCAAAATTTTGTGATATCTTGACGTAAAAAATCGTAAGTTACATGGCGGTTGTTCAAAATTGGCGTATTATGCGCTGCTTCACCTGAATCCTATAATTGATTATCTCCGCCTGATTTTGAAGGGCGTTCGTGGTGAAAAACAACTTCTAAGAACGGAAAGGAAGCCCTCTCCTCATCCCGGTGACTCCACCCTCCTCTCTACTACCTACTGTTCACACGCTCCTCTGCCCATCAGTGAGTACTGAAGAAGATTTTATTATCTTGTTAATTAATTTAATTAAGTAAACACTAATTTCGTTTATTTGTCTTTTTGGATGTGTACCGTATATTTTCTATAAAAAATTCGGTTCAATTAACGTACGGTATATGTGATGTAAATGTGGAGGAAAGGGCGGCTGGAGAATGTTTCTAGCGTATTATGTTTCCTATGAGGAAACTTTATTCCGTCAACATTGTTTACGTTAACGTTGTGTTTAACAGAAACATAACGACAACGTTGAATTAGGAGTCTGTGTTTTAAATTGCATTGCTCAAAGCCTAGTGTTTGTCTGAGGCATAACTGCAAGCAAATGAGAGTGACTGGGTTTCGGTTTCGCATTTAGATGCCAGTTTTTCTTGACATGCCCACACATGCGACTGGTAGCAACTTAAAAAACTGCAGTTTCTATGAGTGGAGTATGTTCTACTTTCTTGTATATGGTTGCAACTGGATCCAGCTGCCATATTATTTATATATTTAATATTTCTATAAGGAGCAGTTGCTATATTGGTTTTTTAGGTCTCACCGCTAAACTTGCATTTTCGTTTATTTGCTCCGTTACTTCTTTGTGTTGCTCGTAGTTTTTTCACCGATCACTTGTCGCTGGTGGAGGCAGACAGGCTTCATAAATCGTAAACCAGTTTCTAATAGTTGAGTTGTTATCAGTCGCACAACCAAGATACGCTAGATCTGAACTGGGTCACATCATCTATATATATAGTAATATATAGATATATAGGTAGTATCAGGAGCTTATAAATGGATTCCATTTATAAGCTGCTGGTAGTATGTGTATATCTGTATATCATGGTGTACACACATGAGCACTCGTGAAAGAACGCGTCCGATTATCAGCACCCAAAGACTAGCAGCGCGTGTATCATGTGGGTTAACTTGCATAGCATTACCCTTAAAAATACGTAGCATAGGAGAATGAATTGCTGATTTATCACTCGCTTGCATTTGCTTTTCCTTGCTATGAATGAATATTCAGGATGTCAAATCTGCATGGCATGTATGACATGTCTTGCGTATGGGAGTTTCCTAATCTCAGTACATGTTTTTGGGTTGTTGTTTATGCGTGTGTTACCAGAAAAGACAGGTTTTGTGTTCAGAAATGTTTTCAAGAGCTACAAAAGAGGATTTTCGATTTGTTTTAGACAAGTATTCAGAATTGTTGAACACCAAACATGGAATGCCATAAAACTTTTCGCTGCTTTAACAGTATGTGTGTATGTATTATTTAAAAGGTATATATATCTAAAATATGTAAAGAATGCATATAGACTCATGCAAGTACATGCGTGCGTGCATGGGTGCGTGCGCGTGTGTGGCATTTTAAATGTACAGTTCGATAGCACAAATGGATATGCACAGGTGGATGTGTGCGTGGGAGTGTTCCACGTAAGATCTGTTGACCAGGTATTTGTTAATAAACTTAGCAGTTTGGCTAATGAAGAAATAAATCGCTTGGCTATCTTTCAATTCAGTTAATCACGTTGTAATTTACAGTGGTGGTATAAATCACTGTAGCACTAATGATGGAAGTACGGAGCTGCATTTATGTGCGTGTGCGCATGCGTGCGTGCGTGCGTGCGTGCGTGCGTGCGTGCGTATGTCTGTTAGTTTAGTTCGCAAGTACAAATAAATAACAGGTTTACGCGCAATATTATTGTTCTCAAACCACACACGGAAAGTTTATTGCTCGTTGATGAACTCTGGCTACAGGTGGCGCCAGCGTACAACCGTACTCCGGCATGACAGAAGTTCGCGAATGCAAGCTCGCCGAGTCTGCGGGCGTAACTAATCAATATAATAAGATTCGTATTTACAAAACGCAAAAAAAGAGCATAATAACAGATCAATATAGGTATGAAACACAACTAACGCTAATGCACAACGTAAACAAGTGGCGTTGATTCCATGCATCGATGCAATATCATACACCGATACACTTGGAGCGCACACACAATCACACGCACACACACATATCGAGTGACATCTTTGATACATATACATTTAGGCCGAGGTTACTGAATATGTTTGTAATTAAACTAATTTCCTGCCGATAGACTATATTATGCTAAACCTCTTCCGATAGGTAGTGCTTCGATCGCGCAATATGTTGACCACGTCTTCATGACCAACGGTCAGAAATATGAAAAAGTGACTTTCTTACAAATAGTGTGGTCCCGCCCAATTGAGCAATATAGTAGCAATGAAAGACAGCCTTTCTACGAAAGCCCAGAAGGCTTTCTATGACCAAAGAGCTTTTTATGACCAATCAAATCATTCGTTACTTTTCTCTCCAAAGATGGTCAATTAGAATACAGATTTCATTCGAAAGTTATGAAGTAATGAAAAGCTTCGAAATCTGTAAGTGAATTGAATTAGAAATTACGAATTTCGCATGCCTTCTAGGATTTTGTACTATTCGTAACCCTGTATGTTCGCATGAACTTTCCCGCCGAGCACGGCACTTGCGTTGACTAGTGTGCTCGGCGTTTGCCTCCATTACGCCGCGCGTTAGCAACAGCACGCGGCTCACGGATAACTTCAGTACATCGAACCATGTCTCACCGACGTGGTGTGACGCATTCCTGCAAGTGTATACGCGGCTACACCTTCACTTAACGTTCACTCAAAGGAAACGGCCTGCATGAAAAACTGGCCGTTCTATAGAAGCAATAGTACATAATAGAGATCTCTGTTATGTACTATTGATAGAACGTATCATTATATAACTGCCACTTATGAGAAACATCGATAGCTACCTTTATAGACATGTGGTCTCTCTATAATGGTAGTTGCACAGATCTGACAATGTGTCGTTGTGTGTGGGTTGAGCAAGACAGTACAATAGGCGATAATGTTTGTCCATTTCTGACATCTACGCATTCCCCAACTCGTCCATTTGCACACCGATGTCTTACCTATGTCTCTCTGCAAACAAGTTATCAGTATAACGCCTACGAACTCATCCACTACATACGGCGTCTTTGCAAAAGCTCGCTGGCTATTGTAGCGCCACCTATGTACAGCATGCAGCACCGCCTCTCGCTCGAGACGGGGCGACACGCATGCGCGTAGGTGACGCCACCTATTACTGGGTGTAGGCGATGCGGCACAAGTGGCGCCACCTGTTAGTGGGCGCAAATGATGCATCGCTGGTGTCGCCACCTGTTAGATGACGCATCGCCGGTGGCGCCACCTGTTACTGGGTGTAAATGATGCATCGCTGGCCGGCGCCACCTGTTAGATGACGCATCGCCGGTGGCGCCACCTGTTAGTGGGTGTAGAGGATGCAGCGCAGCTTGTCGATCTCGCTGCGCAGTAGGGACACCTCTGTGCGCAGCTGCAGGTTCTCCTGCTCCAGGTAGACTACCCTGCACGCCGTCTGCTGCTCCTTGCCGCGCCGCGACTCTCGCGACCGCTTTGCCGACGTGTTGTTCTTGCGTCGCCGGTCCCAGTACGTGTTGTCCTTCAACTCTTCCGGCGTCGGCGTCGCCTTCTTCTTCGACGGCGGCGGCGCTGCTGTCGGCGGAGTCGTCGTCGATACGCTGGGCGTGGGCGAGGCGGTCATGGAAGAGACGACGGTTGGAGCACCGTACGGCGGCTGGGGGAGGAGAGAGAGAGGGGGGTTGATTAGAACACCGCTAGTAGTAGTAGTAGTAGTAGTATATTTTATTTATCAAAACAGGGTAGCTACAAAACAACAACAATGCTGGTTGCAATAATGTAGGCCCTGTTATCATACATGATATATCACTTTTACACACACACACAATGAAAATGTAATAATAAATGTACTAAAGTAGAACTATAATTAGATTAGAACGCCGCTAGCGCCACCTTGAGACTCATGCACGTATAGTCGTGAGCTAAATACGAAGAGCTATATAGTCGTGAGCTAAATACGAAGAGCTATACAGTCGTGAGCTAAATACGAAGAGCTATATGCGCGTGGAAACTTTTAGTGGTCCTCTATGTTATTTTCATGTTCATCACCGTTTGCTGTACGTGCCACGTTTTGTGCACTAACAAACCAATACCAGAAAATCAAAAGCCAGACGAATAACCGAGAAAATAATTAATTCCTATATATGAGAATAGGGATTAATTACTAATATTATAATGCAATATAAGACATCACGTACATGAAAGCAATTAAAACATGATTAAACGTAATGAGCGTGCACGCGTCTATATGAAACAGTACATAGTTATTAGCGTGGCACTGTCTTTTATTGAAATAGAATTCTCTTTTATCATCGAAAAATTAGACTAAAATTAATGACAATTTATTATAAAGGTGGCACACTGTTTCACGATGAACATATATATTCGGTATCTCGTATCAGTCGACCCAGATAGAGACAGCACACGGTTGTTTGCTTATGCGGTAACCTTGTCAACCCCAGCTCGGTAACGTTGTGTTCACGTAAGCCGCTCTGTTACTCAACATTACTGAGGTGCGTCATATTAAATGCTAGTCATTCACGCGCGCGCACACACTCTCTCTTTTCTCCTCCTCTCTCTCTCTCTCTCTCTCTCTCTCTCTCTCTCTCTCTCTCTCTCTGATAAGGAACGCTAGATTGACGTACCTGTAGTGCGATGTTAGTCCGTCTTTCCACACGCGATGATGTCCGTCTTTGCTCCACGCGAGGCTAGCGCTGCCGTAGCGGGTATGGACAGTGGTCAGCCGATGTCCGCAATGATGGCCTCAGCCTTCCGCGCGAGAAAAGTGCCGTGTTTTGATTGCCGCTGCCCACTGCAACCCTTTGTCCACTGGTGAATGACCAGAGGCCAGATGTTACGCAACGGCCATCGCTTATCTAATAATAGGCAACTGACCATTCGGCTGTGACCATTGTTTGCGGCACATGGGGGCGGTCGGGGTATCGATGTGCCCCTTGCGTGTACCGAAAGAGGGTGCGTACATTTTGCGGACGGGGGGGAGGGGAAGCATATGTTTTGCTGAGGAGGCAGTACCTCGCATGGTTGTTAAGATGCTAGTGACTAGCACCAGAAATTCTTCAAATGTTCATGTTCATGGGAAAACGAGCGTGGTGTCATCACAGTGGCACTAGTAAAGAACATACGCCCCCGCTTAACACATACGAGACCCTCACCCCTCCATTTCTGCCCTCCCCCTAAACTTCTTAACTCTTTCCCCTCTGCGCCCGCTATCGTCTTTCTGTGCAAGGCACGACGCGCTGTATGCTCGACCCGTGGGTGGTGTTTGTTCTTACGGGGGCGTTTTTGATTGCTCAGTGTTTTACCCCCGCAGTCCATCAGCAAATTACCAACTCACAATGACACCTGAGTGTTCCAGCACAATGTTACTTGTTTACGTGGGCATAAGGCACGGGAAAAACGCAAAATGACATACGCTATATATAGGCCAAAGAATTGTTGATCTCGCCCTTTTGTTATTTTGAAGAGAGTTGTGTGAACGCTCTGTGTAAATATACTGCGGAAGTCAATTACAACAATTAGAAAGTTTATTATGCCCTTCAAATATATAAATCTTGGTTCGCACGATCTTGTCTTCAAAAATAATCCATTGAATCCATACATCCATCCAAAATTTGAACGATGATGATTTGAACTATGAACGATAAATTAACAATGTTTAATTAAGATAAGTTTATTAGTACTTCAACTGGTTTATTCAGCACTTATATATATAAAGCTCTCTGTAAAGCAATATAATCTTTGGGCGGGGAGGGGGAGGGGGAGGAGGAGGGGGAGGGTGGACTGCAAACGATATTAAATTTCCTTTTACAGACAACTCTCCTGAAGAGTGTCTAGTGTAGCAGGCAGAATTATGATCTGGGTTAAAATAACGGTTCGCGCATGTCCAGTACTTAAAGATAGAAATGGTAGTTTTCTAGTTGTAAAGTAGAGAGAGGGTACGTATGTAGAATGCCGATACCGAGAACTGACATGAAAAATTATACCATTATATAATTATACAAATATATATGTCATTATTGACCCCTGATTATACCAACCCAATGTAGGATATCCGGCAAATTTTTATTCTGTACATAGAATTTCGAACGACCTGCGCGTCGCCATCGCAAGGCAGATTCTCGCGTTAAAAACGTATAGAAAGAACGAAGTAGTCGAGAATATACCAGCTGTCTATTATACACGTATAATTCATTGCTATACAATATTATAGCTATAGGCATATGCTGGCAATATGGGCATACAGAACAGATCCCCTGCTACAATGGCGACTATCGTAAAATGTAGTTTGTTTTTGCTATAGACTAAGTTCTGGTTTTGCGCATGCTCAGTATCTGACGAAATGAATCGTTTTCTCGTATAGAACTCTTATTATAGAGAAGATTGCCGATATTAGCTTGGTATGTTAAATGTCTATCATACGCACCAACTGTAAAAAAATTATAAGATGCCAATGTAGGACGCCCGAGAAAAATTCATTCTGAGCGTAATCCCATGTTCGATTATAAAGGCCTGACCTTTTTAGTTACATTGAATGGAGTTGCTTCCATTTCTGTGTAATACCACGTAAACCAGCTATAGGAGGTGTACAACAGTAAGCATCCGCAATTTGCACTATTTCGTTTCTAGAAAAGGCATTTTTTGGCATTATTTTTCGCCGAAATTCGGCACTAGAGTGCAATAATTTGCATTATGCACGCAAGTTAGATGTGCTTCGCATTCTCTTTTCCGTTATTCGCAAAATTCACCTCCTACCACTTCGCTTGATCCTTCATCCATTAATCGCACAAACACGCTTACGCGCGCGCAGCGCGCACAAACACGCAAAACATGCAAACGCACAGAGAAAGAGAGATCGAGAAGGAGAGAGAGAGAGAGAAAAAAAAAGAGCGGAAATAGTGAGAGAAAAACAGAACGAGAGTCAGATGGAGAGACAGAGAGAGAGAGAGAGAGAGAGAGAGAGAGAAAGAAAAAGAGAGCGGAAAGAGTGAGAGGCAAACAGAACGAGAGTCAGATGGAGAGACAGAGAGAGAGAGAGAGAGAGAGAGAGAGAGAAAGAAAGAGAGAGAGAGAGATGGGAGAGAGAAACGCAGACGACACTAGTGAGTCACGCCCAGCATCAATAACGACGTCGGTAGCTTACCATCTCTATAGCAACCGCTGCGTGAAGGACTATACACGAAAGCTGCCGATGACCGTGTTAGAACTAACTCTGCTCCGATCCCGCTGCTGTCGCGATGCAAGTGACCGCCACGGCGCAGCGGTCCCTACTTTATATAGCCAAATCTACCTGCCTATTGTCGCCGAGTGCTTAAGGATAATCTCCTACATCTATCTCCGAATTTCTCTCTCTCAAGCTCGCTCTAAATTGCGCTTCGTAATTAGTGTTTTCACATCGCGAAATTACCATGTTCTCTTTCCTATAGCGCGCTGCTCGCCTCGTCGCTATTAGCCGGCGTGATGTCACAAAGCTATCAGTAGATGTCGTCTGCTGATTTCGAACGCTGTCGGCACGCACGCACACAGAGAGAGAGAGAGACAGATGATGATGATGACTGGACGAGGTGACCTGTGTGATGTCCGCACGATCACTGCGAGCGATAGCTGACCGCTGCAGCTCTTAAATGCACCCCTCAGTAACGCACCCCCACTCGACCCCGCCTCGCCGCTGCATTGTGCACCGGGGGGGGGGGGTTACGTAGGAATTTTCCGGGGTGACATAAGTGGGTTTATCCTCGCCCGCTGACAGCGCCTTTCAGGTGAGCGCCGTCGCCGATTGTTCTCGCGATTTTCCCACCAGGTTTAGCATTGTCTTACCCGCACCGTGTTGATCAATCCGGGGTTTGCAGTCGGCAAAATACGTCGGCGCATTGGAGCGCAGCGAGTAGCGAGTCTTTGTCGCGCTAAGACAATGCGTCCATTCTACGCTCTCATCAAAGCCCATATCGTGCCCTCGATTCTCTCTCTCTCTCAGCAGCCCTCGTTCCCACAGTGGGCACCTGCAGGGCGGACATAAACCGCGCCTGTTGCAGGGAAGCACGGCGACAAGCGAGAGATGATGAGCATGAAAGGCGGCGGTGACCTGGAGTCACGAGGTATGCCGTAACGGGGGCACGCATGGCGGACGTAAGATGGAAGGTCTCCCGTGTAAGGTTACGCGGGAGGGTCGGGCGGGCACGCGGACTGTGAAAGAGACGTGAGCCTCAACGAGCGTCGTGGCGCGTCACGTTACGTGTCACAACGTGCGTTAACATTTCGTCAAGTGACACGCGCGCGACGTGCGCGCACTCTCTCGTCTCTCTCTCGCTCCTCCCTCTCTCGTATCGTTCTCTCTCTCCCCTCTCCGCTCTCCTATCGCTCTCAGCTTCCTCTCCCCTCCTCTCTCTTTTCTCGCCTCTCTCGTCTCATCTCTCTCTCTCGATATGCTGCAGCCTCTCTCGCCCTCCCCCTCCCTCCCCTCTCCCAGACTCGTTCAGACTCACCGTCAGGCTAGATGAGCCAGCTACTGAAGACACTCGCCAATGAAAAGCTCACTGATGATCTTCCTAACAAAGCTCAAAACTAACCTCACCCAACCTTCCCTCCAAACAAACGCTACTATAGCCACCGACGAGGCGCGCCAACCCAATCATTAATCGGCGTCTTTCCTCTGCCAGCGGCCAGTACC